AGCCTACAGTCCCGTGGCTGGACAAGGGTACTGGCTGTTGTAGACCATGTAATAGTTGTGCCGCACGGCTTGGAATGCTGGAAACTGCTGCAAATTTGGTCGATAAAATATGTCGTTGTGTCACACTGCTGTACCTGTACCTTGCCTGCCTGCCAGTACACTCCGTGCCAGCACACCTTGCCCCAGGCAAGTTAGAAAGTCAAAGATGTACCGGTCAGGAGGGTGACGATGTCGATCCCACCCGTGGTGCGCTGTCGCAAGCCCTCTAACGAAGAACATTGCTACTCGCCTGCCAATCTCGGCCGTGAGGCCATCGAGCATCGCTCCCAGCGCAATTCCCACCTCTCCCTGCTGCAGCTTCCTATACAGCAACGGAGACTACTATCCGTCCTGCCTTGGTGTGGGTCGCGTGCTTCTCCCTAGGACGTTCGCGCCAGCCGACCGTCTTCCCACGAGTGCTTGGTACAGCAGCAAAGGGCGGCGCGGTGCGAGAGAGAAAAGCTGTCCAGCAGCATGGGGGAGACGGCAAGGAAAGCGAGAAGATCGAACCAGTAACATAGACTATCATTGTTTGGTCTTGGTGTGGACATATTGACGAATACGGCTGTGTGCGGTGGGGGCGGCGGTTGAAACGGATCGATCGGCGGATGGACGAAAGTCATGGTACGGGATACGAGGTGACCGGGCGATGCCAAGGAGGCGAGCCGTGGACAGCCTTCGTCTTCCACCTCGAGCCGACAGCTCTTCAAGGTGATGGACGACTTGACGACGCTGTTTAACTGTAGAACAGTAGAAGTTACTGCCGCGAACTGATGTGGTAGCCGCCACTGAAGCACGTTGGTTGGCGTGCTTGTGTTAATGCCGAAACAATACTGATATTCTCCGCGTCTGCTTGTGCTGACGAAGTGTAAAACACATCCCTCCTCCTGTTATATACTTCGAAGTAGCTGGCAACGTGTCGCCGTTGGAGTGTATACAACTACCCGGAACGATTGGCCCCCCGTCCCCCAGTGGGGCGGGCGGCCAGCATGCGTGGGATGGGTGCGGCGGTTTGATACGTAGAGGAAGTAGAAGCGATAATGACATCGGTACGAAAGAAGGGTGTAGGTCTCACACGATGTGAGGTCCTCACGTCCGTCCGTCCGTGGCGTAGATAATCGGTGGAAAAAAAAAAAAGTGAACCGAGGGGAATTCTCGTGAAAGGTCGATGCCCGATCACCGTCAAACGTAAAGCGGGACGAAGACGGGTGTGGGAAATTTTGTGAGGAGGGAATGCGTGCATGCATGAGATCGAAAATGACATCCATCCGAGTAGGTGTTGTAACCTACGCTTTCGAACAACTTTTGACCTCGTATCGGAGGCTCGTAGACAACAGCACCTATTGAGGTTTGTTGCCTCCAACAAACTGTCGGCTACCACCTTGCACGGAGGCTTTGTTGCTACAGGTTGACGCAAGGCCGCGTGTTTGTTGTTGAGCGCGGAGAACGTCCTGTTGGAGAACATCACTGCACGCTACAGCAGCAGCAATCTTCAACAGTATCCGGACGATCTAAGTCTACAGCAGTACCCTTGTGATTGATGATGGCAGATTGAGAAAGAGAAATTGAATCCGAATCGACACGAAACACACATCACAGGCAATATTGATGTCAGCCCCCCCCAAGCAGGAGACAGAACACATCAAACCCGGTGTTCTATAGTTCGGCAGCAGCAACGAATGCATGCCACGGGTGGACGCAAGGCCGCACGTCGTTGTCGAGCGCGGAGAACGTCCTGTTGGAGAATGTGTCACGTTTCTTTCTATTCTGTAGTATAGGGGAAAAAAGAATAATTGTACTGTAGCTCGATTTTTTTTTGGCTACAGCAGTAATCGATGGACCAGACACCGAACAACGTTCGCCCACGGCGACGGCCATGACTGGATGGGATACCTCCTGCGACGGCGAACCATACTACAATGCGATGCCAACAGCCGTTCGCGTGTGGTGCACCTGCCATATGATGCTGCCGACCAACTGGTGCACGCAAAGCTGCCGCCATGTTGGTTGCCGATCAAAGGGACTCCTCGGGAAGATGTCCCACACGGTACTAGTGCTGTACTACAGTACATTGAAGTCGTGTAGGAGTGTGAAGTTGTGCTGTGTGTGCATGCTCCAAACACTTCTACCGGTGTTTTGTGTGTCGGTTGGAGTCTTGTAGGTCTAGATACAGCAGTGGGATTAAGGTGTTGCTGAAGGAAGTTTTCCTGCAGGAGAGAAGGCAGTGTCCGATTCCCACCTTACGTGTTTGGAACTGTGTGGCAGGAATACTTGACGCGCTCGCCGCCTGACCTGCTGTCCGCTGCTGTGCGCTGCGCATGCATGTACCAAACACTCCCCGGTGCTGGCGTGTCGATTGGAGCCTTTTAGGGCGACATGCAACAGCTGGCGGGGTATACAAAGGCTATGTACCCCACCAGGTGGGCAGAGGTTACTGCCTTTGTTTTATATTTTTTTGAATTCCCCATTGGTAATGAAGTTTCAATGCAATGTCGTTTTGGGCAAGATTCTAACATAAATTTTCTAAAATGAAAAAGAGGTTCTATCGCTTCATTTGGTTCAATTTCATCATCGCTTGCGTCATTATTTTTCTTTTTTGTTGTTTATGTAATGCTTGTTGGGGGGGCATCTGACAAATTCAATTTTCCCCCACCAGCCATAGCTGCAGCAACTACTTGCATGCTACCTGCACTACCCCTATTTTGCTTGCGCTAGGCCCACAAGTACGGCTGACGTGTGCGGTATGCCTCCATGGTCGATTCTGTCAATCATTGTGCGACGTGTGTCGGCCTTTATCATAGAAGAAGCGCGTGACTGACCATGTATGTTGAGCAGGAAAAATGAAAAATTGGAGACTCTATTTTCTACGAAGTACAGTAGATTAAAAATATTGAGGGTACTCTATTTTCTAGTGAAACGACGGTCGACCATTTCTTCTATCTGTAATATATCAACATGATTTCATCACTCCTTATTTTCTGTTCCGTCCATCTCGGCGACCGCTACCAATTCCGTCCTGTGCCCTCTCGCTCTTCGCGAACGAACGTCTTGACGTCTTCATAGCGTCTCCATACACCATCCCTTCTTGCCACTCTCAACGAGTCGTCTTCCATCTTCTTATTCTTAACTTCCTCCCAAATCCTCACCGTCATCCATCTCATTATGGCCGCCCGCCCCGTTGGGGGGCGGGGGGCCAATCCTTAACCCTAGTATGAAGATATGTAGAGGTTCCTGTGTGAGCGTTGGCCTGTAGTGTAACCGCTGGAAGTCCTCCCTACGGCTTTGGCTACAAAGAACGTCGATGCAATGATTCCCAGTCCAGAGCACGACAGCTTTCAGTGTTTGTCAAGACAAGAACGACATCACCAGCGACAATAACAGGGTGGTGCCTACGTGCAGCACAGGGAAGGTCAGAAACCATCCTGTGAGAGCCGCCCTGTGTTGCTTTCCGTAATCATGGCCCTTTGCCTGCTGTGATGCACCCGTATACAACAGCATTGCTGAGGACAAGCGCCATGATGGTTGCTCATGAAGCGGATTTCACCAACCGACCGTATGTATCATCGTCTAAGCGCGGATGCAAGAGGCCGCTTGGAGTGTAATCTCCGGAGGGTGGAGAAAACGGACCACGAGATAGCGGACCATGGGCCGTGTGGGAAGCACTGGGAGTCAAGCTCATCGGCCATCCGCCGTTGCCAGGGTACCAGACACCAGGTGGGGCTTGCGCGTGAATCACAGACGGAAAAGAGGATGGCGAATAACATGTATAGCTCCATACCTGCTCGTTTCGAGGAGACACATTTCTGTACCGCTATTTTTTGCTTCGTCATTGACCTCTCGTGTCAGACACCATTTTGAACGTCGACAGTGGTACATACCCGATGGCTCGCCCGTTTGAATGTCAAGACGGCGGTACACCGGTGCTGCAACTACACACAGCAGCCACACCGGCGCCGGTGCTGTAGGTACTCGTCGGCTGGGTTTTGGTGATCGTTGTTACGATGGGTATGGTTATTGGCACGACTCCGGTATGGACCTTGAAACACGTAGCCATGAGACACCGCCTATATGGGTACGACTTAATCTCAGCTCAGTTCAGGTCGGTAGGTACGGGGGAGTAACTGGCTATACGTCCGTTGCACCTAATAGGGCCTTAGCTGATTGGTCAAGGCAAGGCCTTCTCCACTCTCTTGAACACCAATGCAAAGCCTAACACTCTGAGGCAAGGGGCTACCTCCTCTCTCGGCAAGTCGGATAGGCTACTGTCCTTGCCGTTGCCTATTCAGCGCTAAGGAGTGTAAGTGCGTATTCTGGGTCCTTTCTATCACAGCCAACCACGTTCAGAGTCTGTATTGCGACGTGTTCCCGAAATACCGAAAGTTGGGACCCACGACTTGCCCAGCGGAGAACAAGTCGACCACCCTCCAGCTCCGATTCGCGTTGAACGTAATATTGTTCTCGAAAATCAATCTTGATTGTCGGAAACAGAGACAAGGTAGAATGAAGGTTCGAAAAATAGGTCACCTGCTGCTGTGCGTTTTGGACAAAGTACTCTAATCCACGAACTATATAATCAATCCGAAACGGCAGGAGTCAATCCATCGAATATGTGTGAAAGCGACCCGGGGGGCCCGGGCTCGAAATTAAAAGAAAACAAATCTACAACTTCTGCTTTCTTTGACGTTCGCTGAACTGTTCGAGTGAAAAATACGTCAGCTGCTGCTGTGCTTTTTGGACAAAAAATGTCTAATCCACGAACAAATCGATCCGAAACAGCAGGAGTGAATCCGTCGAAGATGTGTGAAAGTGGAGCGGGGCTCGAATTAAACATGTTCAAAATAAAATCTCGGCCCAGGCGACATACGCACCCACCTCTCGCACTTTTCCCACGAACCCTCAACAACTACAACAACAGAGAGATTGATCATTTGGAACGGGAGTACAAGATTTGGTCCAAGACCATGGAGGGCCATAGCGGCACTACACCGTACAACAGGTGTGTGATGATCACGGGACCCAGATGTATACATACCCTGCTGATATTCTGTCGACGATGCTACAAGAAGAAGAATACTTCGTAGTATTCGAAGTATTTAGTCTATCTATGTACAGCAGTCGAGAGTCTGTCTGGATTCTCACGTTATCCTGTGGTGCTGCTTGGCGCCAAACGATGCTGCGACCACGGTCAGAGCGCGCGATGTACGATGTGAAAACATGCCCACCGTGCCCTCAAGTGATGCAAATGCTTTCGGTAGTGGCCTCAGTAGCTGTAGCCCAGGAAAGATACGTAGTGGTCGACCTGTGCTGTACACTACATGACATATCGGCTTGCTCCAGGGTGAAATTCCTTCGCATTATATTCTCATTTCGATTTGAATATCGGTCAGCATCTGGGACACCCGTTTGAGTACACCGATATGTGTATCGAATGAGAGAAACCCATATCCTGCTATAGCTCTCCACCATTAGAATGAGGATGGTGGGTCTCCGCATAGTTCTCGGTGTAAATTTCGCGGTTAGACAAGAGAACGGTGAATTAATATAGACTACAATACCCAGCGCTCACAATACATATGTAGTCTATCCCTTTTCTTGTATTTCTTGCAAAACGTCTTCGTGCCTTCCTTGTGTATCTCTCTCTGTCTCTATCTGTCTATCTGAGGTCCCGACTCCTTGTCTACTTCTTCCTTCTCCTATTATCTTTCTGGTTGTCTCTCTCTCGTCGAAGCTTGCTTGTCCTGATCCTGCTCTGCGCTCGCCTTAATTTGATGTGGGCTTGAGACTTCCCACCTTCGTTACTGTTCCGTCTTTTTCCTCTCCTTCCCATCTCATATCTCATGCATGCATACGTATGTGTACGTACGTGTCGCATGTTTGCTAACACAATTATGTACATCTGCACCAACTAACTATCTTGCGTCTTTTGGTCCTCTACATAGTTTGATAGCCCAATACTCACAGCTTGTTCTCCCGTTCGTTCAACCCGCCAGAAGGTGTCACTGCTTGTAGTCACGAAATAGGTTTCTTCAGCAATCCGAATACCCTGGCCAATGAGTAATGAGTAGGTTGAGGCAAAAAAAAATAATATCCGTGACAAAGAACCGCCGTCTGGAAATATTTGACTACAAGCAGCGCAATACCCAATTAGAACTCAAATAATAGCTATGTATGCATGTGTTGTTGCCATGTGTGGGAAACACTTCGGGCCAACAGCTAACGGTATTCCAAAACGGAACCGACACGACGGCGGAGATGAAGGTGGAGTATGTCTTCTCTCTCTCTCTCTATTGCGCACCAAAAGCATTCATTCATTCATGCACATTCATTCCTGTCTAATTTTATGTTGTCGCTTTCCTCGTCCGGTGCAACGGCTGCATTCTTGGCCCTTCTTTCCTCCGTCCCCGACAGTTACGCTGGCGCAAGTGCCGCCATCGTTATCACCGGGGCAATTGTGCTCGACGGTGCCTTGAAGTGGGCACAGAGACGGTGAGTGTAAATGTTAATTTTTTGCTCCATCCAACTTGAGTGGGCGGGGGAGTAGGGTACACTACAAACGGGTGCATGCGTGCTCCGAGGGTTGGCGTTTCACTTTGATCTGGCTAGACAACGTAGTCATCGCTGAGGCATATTTGGACAACAGCAACAAGACCCTCGCACCTAGAGGATCAAACGACGGCAAGGGTTTCGATTGAAACCTTGGAAAAAGCCGAATGCGTACACTCCTTGCTGTGTTGGGTAGCCCTCTGCTCCAGAGTGTAACCTACATAGTCCCGTTTCCTGCAGGAACCAAGAAATCGACTTCCACAAGCACAAGCCCACATGTCGCTTCCATGGCGCACCACGTTTTGACATTGAACCCCAGGTGGAGACTCTCGAGCAGCACCGACGGTGATCGTGCCGCAAGGCATGTGTACGAGGACTGGGCAAAGGCCGGCCCCCCCTTCGGCGCCAGCAACAGCGGGTGAGTTTGATAGTACAGAATTTTCTTCGACAAGTTCGGGTATTTTTCGCGACGACGTTTACACCGTCCCAACCTGTTGCTCTGCAGCAGATACAGCGAGGCATCAGTGGGTACTGCTGTAGGTTGTATTCGCCAAAGTATTCAAATATTTATCCACGAACTCCCCATCTCCTCTCGCACGACGCTCACCACCACTGACATTCTTCTTCCTCCCTCCCTCCCTCGCGTGTGGCGGACCAAACCCAGAACCAGGTCATCTTCCGTCCGGTACGGGCGAGGCGAGCACGGGGCGGGTTCGACTCTAGCCCTTTCGGCCGTCCGCAAGGCAAGTGCACGAGGGTTGGGCAAAGGCCGGTGCCCCCTTCGGCGCTAGCAACTGCGCATGAGTTTGATAGTACAGAATTTTCGGCAACGACTTGCGGTATTTGTAGCCACGTGTACGCCGCCGCCCCAAACTGTTGCTCCGCTGCGCACGACCCAACAACACAAACAAGAGTCGTCGACCCCTGGTCCTGTCTTGTTCGGTTGTATTCTCCGCGTACGATTTCGTCTACTTCCTCTGTCCCATAAGTCTGTAGCGTTATGGGCGAGACGTTTTTGAGGTGAATCGTTAGTGCCGATTATTGTAAACTGGGGTTCGTTACAAAGAGAAAGCGCACAGGATACTGAGGAAAAAAAATGAACGGTTTGAAACACAAAATCAAGTCGAAAAATCCCCGGTTGATGGGCGTTTCTCGAGAGAATGTGTGTGTGTGCGTTTTTTTATTATTATTAGCATCGACCGCGCTAACCGGCTGACCAATGAAAAGACGTCAGTCTTAGTGCGGTCGAAAACACAAAACACTTCTATCTGCCATGAACTGGGACCCCGTGAGGGGGCAGCATGGGGGAGGCTAAACTATCCTTGGGATCAAAGATAGAAACAGCAGCAAAAGAAGAAAACTGGACGCGTCTACCAAGGCTTTTACCTTGTACTTTAGTTCGTTTAGGAGTACTTTCACCGTTAGCCTCCTTGTTTTCGCTACCACCATTCTGATCCTCATTTTGACAAGAATCTCTGGGCAGTTCTTCCCTAGCCCTACGTTTTTTGTTTTGGGGAAGGTCATCTGGCTCAAACCCTTTGCTCTCTTCCACTCCTACATGTTTTCCTCCTCCATCGCCGTCTTCGCCCTCCTTTCTTCCCTTTCCCTTTCCTTCGTCTCCGTCACTCCTAAAATAATTGCCCTCATTACTATCGTTGTCGCAGAGATCCCAACCGACTGGCCCTGGTGGAAGTTGGTCGATCAGTAAGTAGCCCATGATGTTTGAACACATCTCGAGTTCGCATCGACAGAAAACGAGCTAGCTCGAACGTAAACCGTCTCCGAATCCTGTGTGTGTGTGTGTGTGTGTGATTTCTTGTCCCTGTACCCTGGCCGAAATGGGGCAAAATATGGCTATTTTTTGAGCCGACTGACTTTTCCAGCCCTTAGCCCACGCAGGGTAACGAATGTCCACTAATTCATCGCCAAAGGCATCGGACAAGGCTAAAGCACTCGTACGAACACAACGCTACCGACTTAGGGACAGAGGAAGTGTTTAACAGAGAGCTCCATCTCCTCTCGCACGACACTTCTCAACACTCATCTTGCTTCCTCCCTCGCGTGTGACGGACCAAAACCATATCCAGGTACGGGCGAGCCACGACCGACGCCACTTCGCCCGGTGCCAGGCGGGTCGCCGTGCACTTTCTGTGCCAGTTGCTGGCGGAGATGTCGGCAGGGCAGCCGTTTAGCTCGCCGGCACCCATGATCGTCATCTCCTTGACGGCGGAGAATTTTCGAGTCCCCCCCCCCCGCCGTACCTGCGTCTATGCCATTCCTCGCAGCTCCCGCCGTCTACTCCCCCCCCCGGCTCGATCCTCCTCAACAGGGGTATCGACGGCTCGATGGTGAGGCCGGGCCGTGCCACCGCCGCCCTCCTTAGCGTCCGGTGGCTCGATATCGAGCTGGAGGAGGAGGAGGAGGCCCGCAGGCGCGAGCTGGACGCCATGTTGAGCGCTGGCGGCGGCGGCGGCGGCACAGGAGGCCCTCGAAGCGGCTGCGGCGGCTGAAGCGGCTGCCGCCGCCGCCGTCGAGGAGGAGGAGGAAGAGGAGGAGGGTGCCGGCGGCGGCGAGGAAGAGGAAGAGCAGGAGGGTACCTCGTCGGCGATCCGGCCGGAGGCTACGGCGGACTAGGGGGGTCAGAAATCCCCCCGCTAGAAGAGCAAAGGGGCGAGGCTGGCCCGGGAGGCGCGAGAAGCGGCGTCCGGCTCGTCGTCCTCACCGTAGTGGGGATTTTTTTACGCGTTGTTACATGAACGAACCCCGCTTGGTGTTAGACGTGTACAACTGTTTGGAAGCGTGTGTGAGCGTTCTTTATTGGGTGATTTACCGCATCATTTCAGGTTCACGGCGGAAGGGAGGTGCACAGGGGGGTAAGTAGTACTCAGGCGTGGGCGCGAGTGGTGTGCGTGGTCCTGATGAATAGCAGAACAAAGTACATACTACTACGCAGTATACATCCGCTTGTTAAGAATTTACAAGGAAGGGCCCTCTCGCTGATATGGCCGGTGGCAGAGGGAAGGCCAAACCAATATGTGTGATTCATCTACCGTTAAGAGTTGTAGCAAGTGTGTTTTTCTTGTGCCTCGTATCTGGGTTCGACAGATTGATCCAAACGCAGTTAAATCATGGACAATGACACATCTTGTCGAATGCTGAGTGATGATGGAGTGTGGAGAGGCGCTTGTGTTCAAGGGTGTATCAATGGGATGAAGGCGAAGGTTGACAAACGTCCCCTGTGGTTCCACGAGGGCGTGCACTGTCATGGCGTGAGGGTGTACCGTATATGACACAAGATAACACACCCCCTGGACCGATTTTCAAAGCTCGATTTCTCAACAGCAGGAAGAGTCACAGCGCCGAAAACGGCGGCGTTGGAACCGTCTCGTCGAGAGGTTTTCGAAAATGTATTGTTTCGTTTATGCATCCTCTTCGTCGTGGAGTAATCGAGCTTTGAAAATCGGTCCAGGGGGTGTGTTATCTTGTGTCATATACGGTATGTATGCTGGCAACATCACATCAACAGGTGTTGGTGTTGCAGTCGGGGGCGTGGAGAGAGGAATGTCAGCGTTTGGTGTTGGCCAAGGTGTGCGTTGGGCGCCCAGGTCGAACACAGTAGATACACGGGGTGAGATGTCTCATGGAAAGCGTCCAACAATTGATGTATTGTATTGATTGGTGTTTTTGAGGATGCAGCAAGGAAGAGTACCGCGGTTTGCGGAGGTATTGACTGTTGGGGGAGAGTTGCACAGGTTTAAAGTGTTGCCCGGATTTTAACAACGAAATGGCAGTTTCTGTTTACGTGTGCGCGCTTGTTTTGTCGCTGAACGTGTATGGCCATTGTAAAGCACCCTTGGGCACGCTATACGGTAGCAGTGTTGATTTGTGTTTTCGCCTGTCTTCGACATATTTACGAAGTACTTCGTGTATGTTGTTGCGGGCCAAAATCTGAGTCCGTTGTGAGTGTGCCGAAGAAGCGAACGTTAGACTACAGTATACACGTCGCTCGTTTCTTGCACGGTTGAGAATTTAGAATTTAGCCGGGGAACCACACCCTTGGTTGCGGGGAACGGTGAACGTAAGGTAGATTTAAGGTGCGTTTGTGTGTTGAGTGTGTCCTTTTTGTCGATGTGAGTACCGTCGTGGGCACCGCTTGGCGAGAAACGATACCAAAGAGTTTCCGTTGTCGGTAAGCTGCTCTGTGTACCTACCACTATACGGTAGATTGCAAGTTTCTTGTCAGAAGCTCGTTGTTGTAGACGTTGTGACACACTTTTGCTGGATAAAGTGCTTTTGTTTTTGTCTTTGCCAAAACAACAAGTAGAAGGGACATGCATGATGTCTACAGATTTACGCGGTGAACCGTGTGTGTAGCCAAGAAGAACAGAACTGGCAACAGCGCCGGCATGTGTGGGTGTAAATGTAGCTTGGTTATAGCATGTCCCGTGAGGGGCGAATCTCCTGTGTGTGTGTATTGAACCATTTCGTTAACACCCCACGCTCCGACGGCCAGAAAGCGAACCACACCGAGATACGGCCCGCCAACGGGCAGGGAACAGCTCTAGGCTACCTGATGTCCGAACGGGAGCTGTTGGATCAACAACGTTCGTTTTCCGGTTCGGCAAATATTGTTCCGTTCTTCGTGATTACGAAGTACATACAATAACCATGTATGTACTGTTTATCTTGACTCTGCGATTCTTACATTGGACAATTTGCGTGGACTCTGATCAAGGAGGTTCAGTTTGCTTTTCCAAGACAAACAAACAATAGCCAGACAGAAAGGATACTCGAGTGCATCCTTTTCGTCTATGTGAGTATTATCGTGGATATCCCTTGTGGAGAAACGATACGAGAACGATTTATCGTATCGTCCTTCCAATCCCTACCACTACGGCGGTAGAGTACAGGCGAATCTTGTCAGGGGCTCCCGGCGTGGTAGGATTAGACTTTGAAGCGTAGCAACCCATCGTGTGCAAGAGAAGGCTTTGGTTCATGTTTCGATGCACACGGGCGGCGTTGCGTTCCCCTAGCAGTTTCCATTCTGTCTGGTCGTTGCCTGACGGGGGGCACACAATGGTTCAAAGGGAAAACCTATTCTACGATGTAGCGATCAGCTCTTCTAGAAATACCCTCCTGTTCTATTGCACCAACCAGTGTTCCTACGAAGCTGTGACGTTTTTTGCGCTGTGCATGCGTATGGAGATCAACCAGATTCGGTTGGAAGGACCCACGATGAAGGCTCCGCATAAGAATATACATGTGTCCACCATCCATCCCATCCATCCCTCGTTGAATGGCGATGACGATGGTCACGAGAAACACACAGGACCCAATGACAAACAACACACACCAGGAAGAGATTTTCATTCGAGAAAGGGAACGAGCCCCCTTTCGTTCGTGTACCTGCACACTACCACCAGCCTGCATCATAATTATCATGCGCGCACATGCTCACACCCGTCTCGCCCACCACCTACTCCGCCGGCCGGTGAACAAAGAAAGCTGTTCCTGTTCTACTTCTGCTATATCAATTAAAACATGACACCATGGACGCAATATATCGTACTTAATTCACATCATCGCGATCGACACCGCTGAACGCGTGTTGTGCACCGGGTGTGCAACCCCCCGAAAAAAAATTTCATGCATCACTAGAGGGTCGCGCACCTCTCTCTTCTTGCGGAGGACAAGGGACCATGATGACTCTTCTTAACTTTTGCTATTCTACTTTTATGCCCCAGCCATGCCAACGTACGCGCTTCGATGGGACCAGATACACATCGGCGGCAAAGGGCAGCAAATAACGGTTCTACCTGGCTGAAATCAAATGCCTCTCCACCCCTCCTCGCATTGATGCCCTTTGGCCAGAAGACAGCCAGCCTTGGCGCCCGCGTACACTGCAAATCTCATCAAAACAAACAGAAACGAACAAAAAATAATTGACAAAACAAACGACTATGTTGCGCGCGAGAGGACAAGCGCCACATGCACCACACCCGTCCGCAAACGTCGCCCAACCAACCGTCACCGGGCGCGGGCGGCGACACCAACACAAAAAACAAGAGAGCAGGGGCGTCAGACTAAGTCAGCCTGATACAAGACAAGAACATGACGACCGTTTAGAAAACCTCTTACGGGCTTTTCTCTATCTAGGCCAGGCCATTCCTCCACAATACAAACAATAAACAAACACGGACTGGACGGGATGTATGCATATCGAAACACATCGAAACCCTTGGCCGAAATCGGGACGGATGTCAGCGCTACCCAGAATTGTTACCGAAGTTCGGGGACGGTTGTGTCGCCTGCTAGCTCTTGCTATCTCAAACCTCCTGTAATACCAATCCCGCAAATGAAAGATCCACTTAATATTAGGCTCGAATCAGAACTCGTTCTCTCCTGTTCCGCCTTCTAGAACTAGAACCCCTCCCGTTCCGCCTTCAGTAACGACAGCCCTCCCTCGAAAGCATACTACTGTAGTACTTCGTTGATACACATATATATGCAGAATAAGCGTATATATAGGGGGCCAGACTCAAGCGCGTTAGTCACCGATGGGGTGCGCTCCTTTCCAACGAGCCGAGACGGCATAAATAAAGAAAAAGGAGATGCACCCAGAAAAATAATAGCAACTTGCCTTTCTACGCCGCTTCGTGTTGTGTCCTATAGAACTTGCTCGTGCTGGCTCACAATCTAGAAGTCGGCTCTAGATCAAGGCTTTTCGACGCACTACATATCCCATCTGCGCCGAACTACATGCAACTCCACACCGCCCCCACGGAGCCCCCTCGCCCCGCAAATGAAGGCCAAATCCCTCCCCGGTTACCCTGCACGCAATTTAAGTCTCTCCTCTCTTCCGTCATCAAGCGCGAAGCGCAGTAACGTGTGTACGACCTCAGGTAAAGTAACACAACCTGCCGACGGCAACAACTACAATCGCGCCACGTCAACCTACCGCAGCCAATCCCGCTCGACACGTATTCCCCCACAGGACCAAACCCGGGGGGGGGGGGAACGGCGGCGGAAGAAAAAAGAATGGGGGCAGGTGGCACACCATGAAAGCCTCTGCGGACCGGAAAAATACCGCCCGCGCATAAACAAGATGGAAACGACTACACATCCCTACCAAGAAAAAATGAAAAATAAAAGGGTTTCAACACCGGCGAAGGAAGGCCAACCCGTAAGAGACTAAGATAGCTCATTCCTTATAGACGATTTTTTCAAAAGCTAACACACGATCGAATCTCTCGCGCAAGCAGCGCACCCGTGTCTATCGAACGCAGCACTGCGCGGCCGCACATGGGACCGCCAATGCTTCCGAACAAATAAAAAAAAGGGCAGGGGGGATGCCGGCGGCCTATTCCTCCGTTCTTCTGCGGAAAACTACCGTACCGAAGAGCGACCGTACGGTTATCGAGGCGACGAAGCCCTCCCCTATCCCAACTGCAGCGGCCACCGGGGCTGCAGCGCAAGACACCCAACTACCATGAAAAGGCGCACGCGACAACACACACCGTACCATCGTATTATACTCTCGTGCTGTGGTTGCTCCGAAGGCCACCACTGGCTCCGGGACAGCCCTGCGCATCAGCCGGGTTTTCCGCAAAACTAAACCCTGGCCCCGGGAAACATGTAGTATGCGGGACAGCAGGCGCGGTTCCATGGCTTGGCCCGCCGTCCAACATCGCATTCGCTCTTGCCACCAGCACTCCAATCCCGGTTTCGCTCACCACATTCTCTGCAGTGCCGCGGAGAGAGAGCTGCGCTCCCCTTAACCCCCCTCCACGGCCTTCTCCTGGCCTACGATACGCGCGAGGCGGGCCCGTGGCTGCCGCCGCCGCCGCCGCCACGACAGTCACGGCTGTAAGCCGCGTCATCCTTCCCCATGTCGTCGACGGCGTAGTAATAGCTCGCGGCCGCGGCGAGAGCATCCTGCTGTATCGAGCTACGCCCGACCATGGCGGAGCTCTCGGAGCGGCGCCTCGTCGCCACGCCGCCGCTCGCCCCTCCGATCCCGGCTACCGAAAAGCCTTCAACACCCCCCCGGCCGTTGTAGCGAGTAGACGAGTAGTGGCCGTCGTACGCCCTGGGAGAAGCCGATGGGGGGCGTGGTGCCCCGCCCCCGTTCCTGCTGCGCACCATCGGGGGCGGCGACTGCGACCGTACCACGCCGTGGGCGGTAGCCATCGCACCCCCACCCGCGCGCCCCGCTCCGCTGCCGCCGGCATCGTCGTACCCCCACTCGGGCAACGCGTAAGCGGAGTGAAGGTGACTCTCCGACTGCGAGGACCTCTCGTACTCGCCGAAGGACGGGCTGCTTCCGCCGCCGCCGCCGCCGCCGCCGCCGCCGCTCGCTCCCGACGGGTAATCTCTCGGCTCGGCACGCCCCTGTCTCTCGCGGGGCATGGGCGGCATGTGCATCGCCGGGGGGCCTCCGTACGACCTGCCCGCGCCGGGCGAGACCCGGTGGCCCGAGGTCGGCGAGATGTGGTGCCCGGAGCTCGGGGAGAAGTGGTGGCTCGAGCTCGGCGAAACGTGGTGACTTGGGCTCACCGAGAGGTGGTGAGGCGTCCCGGCCGCCGCCCCGCCGTGGTGGTGGTCGAAGTTGCCGTGGGGAGATCCACCGTGGTGGCCATAGCCGCCGCCGCCGCCGCCGCCGCTACCGCCACCATGACTTATCGGCTGGGAGTGGGACCTCGTGTGGGATGCGTACCCCGGATGCCCTCCTCCTCCTCCTCCTCCTCCTCCTCCCGACGCGGCGCTCGACTGCGCGAGGGAGGAAAAGTGCCCGTCGCACGGGGCGGTGCCCCTGGACGTGCACTTGCCCGTCGAGTGAAGGCCGTGCGGCGGGTGTGGCGCAAGGCCTAGGGCGGCCGCGCGTTGCGCAGGCACGACGACGCAAACCTGGGGGGGCGGGAATTCAGCGGGGAGTGGCACGGAAGCTTGAGCATGGAGACAAAAGCTGGGGCAGCAAAGCGGACGCACAGGAAGCGTGAACTGATGTCTCCACCAGAGAAAGGACACTCCACCTCCGCAAAACGGGGTTTCATAGTCCCAACAAAGACGCCCTAGTCTCGCAACCTCGTGAAGGCCTCAGCCTCAACGCAACAACTCCTACGCAAGAGATAGTCTACGGTATCTACCCGCTCCATGGCTCAACACTCACCATCGGCTGGTTGTGGTGTTCTCCATGGCGCCCGCCGCCGTACCCGTACGGCACCCCCCCGCCCCCAGCCGAGGGGCCGTGGATGCTGTGCCCCGCGCCCCGGCTTCGCATCGGGCTGAAGCCATTGCTGCAACCTACCCCGCAAGCTCCGGCCCCGCCGCCGCCGCCGCCGCCGCCCCCCCCGGCCCGCCCACCCCCGCCCTTGTGCGGAAACATGCCCAGCCTGGCGCACGACCGACCGCTGCCGTTGGAGGGCGAGCTGCCGTTGCCGGAGCTCGAGTTGGACGTGGCCGAGTGGCGGCGCCGGGGGCGGTCTCCCCCGCTGCCGGCGTCCTTCGCGCCTCTGGACCACTGTACGCTGACCGTCGTGCCGCGAATGACATGTGTTGACGCATCCGCGACCACCGCGTTCAGCGCGGCAGCCTGTCGACCGTACAGAAGAGGGGGGCGGAAGTGCCAAGCGTGGTCGTGTCAGCGGAAAAAAAATACATAGTAGTGCAGAGATTGTGTAAGCTTCTTTTTTTTTTTTACGATAAAACAACGAGTGCATCTCTATCTCGTACCTTCAAAACGCAACAACGATCACCACCTGACTGGTCGACAACGAAGCGGCGGATGTATGTTGTCTTCGCCCCTAACAAAACCTCAGCTTATACAACAAACAAGCATATTGGTCTCGTGGAACCAGTATTGAGGAGGGTTAACCACACGCTGAGTCCACCACGGGTAACCTCTTCGGGAGGATACATGAAAAAACATGACGTGGATCACGCATAAAGGTCTGCTGTACATGATTTCCACAGCTAATCCCGACACACAAACCAACGGGCGGCTACGCCTCAAGACACAACTGCAAAATAAATCTTGGAACGAACACATACCAAGTATGAGGGATGGCAACGAGAACCTGTGGTCGGGTACGTCCTGCTTTCCCTTCAAATAAACGATTTTCCGAGGGGGAGACCACCAGTGCCGCGAGAGATACTTGGTACCGTGGGGGGGAGGGCTCAGTAACGCCGGTTAACTAGCACCGGTGGCCCTTTATAGCGCCGGTGAAATTACTGGGCTTTGAACAGCGCCGGGCTCTCCACTGTTGTAGACTAGATTCTCAAGTCGGGTGCTTAGGAAGTTCAAGATGTGTACCACGTCTGCCATACATGCCGTAGGGTAACATCTCGGGATTTCAAAAACTATCACATGGTGTGGTCTTGCGCACCACGGGGTTATGGTATCTTAGGTCACCGTGTGATGAAGTGCTCTCACGGAACCCCCATCTAGCAGGCGTTTCAATACCATGTGTGCGTTCGTCCAACACGTTCTCCCGCCAGTCTGCAAACCTTCCGGTGTACATGTTCGACATACAGCAGTACTGCCGTCGCTATAGTGCAGGTGCTACGTTATAGTGTTGGTGAAATCTGCTGACACAGATATAAGCTAGTATACTAAAACCTGTACCAGAATATTCCTCCATCCTGAATAGAGCAGGTGCCCGCCATACTGCTGGTAAAACCTCTCGACACACCCCTGCACTATAGCGACCCCAGTACTGCATCAGTCGGGGTCACACACCGGAAAAAGGTCGCAAGCAGCTTTCGGACTTCTGACGGCAGTACGTTCATGTTTTCGACCCGCCATTTCCTCCTGCGGTTGCTTGCCATAGTCTTGATCGTGACAAGGGTTCAGGCGTCCCTTTCCTTCGTCGACCGACAAATCGAAGTGTGAACACTGAGGATCGAACTCCAACCTGTTACCATCAAAGTAGGCTTACGAGGTTGACCACTCTACATCACAACATCGTCGCGTGATTGAGTAACCTGTGTCATGGAGGGCGCGTACACAGGACGCCACCTATAAACTAGTGTGTGTGATGTTCAGGGTAGCACATGCTGCTTTCTCTCGTGCTTTACAATATCCGTACAAGGCCGCACAATCCTGTGGGGTTTCTCTCTGGGAAAATTGCGAAAGCGAACGTGTAGAATGCTAGTGTTGCGAGTGCACACCAACAGACAGCACACCGATACCTGAATGGTGACAAAGGGAGATAAGCAAGACAAGAAAACCAAGGCAAGTCTGGCCTGATTCTCATCGTCCAAGCTGGAACCAGGACGCATCAACAAATAATGCTTGAAACCAACCCGAAAAAAAAAGACAGCCGACTGCCAACACTCAAAACCACAGCATGGAATGAAAACAAGCGTTGCGGCTGCTGAGAGTCTCAAGAGCACACTTTCCCTCCCCGCCGCGGTTGTTGCCCGTGTACAGAAAAAAAAAATACGCAGGTGAGCTGACCCACCGCAGTCATTGATACATACATCAACTCAACACGTTTCGTTTTGGATGTTGATGTTGAAAAAGTAAACACCGGAACTAGACACCACAGCTCAGCCGTTGGTGCCACCGGACTCGAAAGATAATGAGTTCGAGCCCCCGGTTGTATCAATTCAGACATGAAAACTATTTTGCACCAGGAGACCGCAGTTGAGGACAAAATAAAACGGTTGATCATATGTAGCAAGCGCATCTACGGGTCGTTGTAGTGCCGCCTGACGGTCATGTAAGTCAGGTGGAAGTCTCTTGGATTCATTCGGTTTCGGCTTAACTTTCGACACAGCAGCAAGAGATTCGGTACACCGAAGGGCCGAAGGGTAACAACAGCGTTGTAAATGGCGGATATGACTTGCTTGGGGCGCCTGCCAAATGTTTGGCTGGAAGCCAAGGGCTGCACGGGGTGCTGATAACCGCGGGGCTCAAACCAGGTCCAAACTGGGGAGAGGCTGACAAGAAGGAGCGCAGCTGAAACCCCCAACGTCCGTTCTTTTCAATGCCAATGCAGGAAGGGTGGGTAGGGACCCCAGGGAGAGAACCATTCTGTGTGGCCACGGATTGGATCTCCTACCGGCAGAAAATGATGTTGCCATGAGCGCTGACTTTAGGGAACGAACAAAAAATACGGTACTGGGAAGCAACTGTACCCCTTGATTGGGGGTAATTCGCTTGTGACCACGGAAGGTGTCCGCGTCTGTAGGATCAATACCGACCGGTACATGAAAAGATTTTCCTTGTCAAGACAACAACCAAAACAACAACGTACAATGTACCCTCATGATACTAACATTTATCACAGAACTGAAAAGAGGGGGTCAACGGCTACTACATGCGGTTCAGGGAAGAAGGTGCGGTGTCTTTCGTGCCACTGCCGTGATCAAAGTTGAGTTGCGCTCTGTATTCGGGATGCGAAAAAACACCCGCGGGTGTGACGGACGGTGTTGTGTGATGCTCATCGTATCAATGCGTGGGTATCGTGATGTCTTACGTGACCTACCAACGGTACGCAGATGGTCCTCTCAGCCAACATGTCAAGACTGGCAAAAAGCCCGAATGAATGAAGACTTCTCCGGTAAAAAAATTCGAGGTAGGATAACAGCAGTTTGAGAGCTCTCTCGGAACACACGGGGTGCGCGCAAAAAAATCGTGAGGAAGGCAACAACCACGCGGTACTATCTACCAACGAGTTGCGCTGCTGACTTTGCGTACGTATGTAGGCCGATGAAGAGAAAGCCAAAGGGCGCGCACACACATCCCACCAGCCGCGAGAGATACATATATTGTAGATCCGTTGGGGTGGGGGGTACACTCATACATCTTGCGAGGTCTACGATGACTGCATGCATATTGGCGACGCTGCTCACCTCCTGGAAGAACTTCACGAAGGCGAACCCGCGGCCGCGCTGGGTGCGGTCATCCCGGTTGATGGACACGCTCTCGATCACGCCGAACTTGGCGAAATACGTGGCCAACTCTTCCTCCGTGATATGCACGGCGTCCTCGCTCTCTCTCAGGCCACCGACGAATACCTGTGTCGGACAAAATATCGGACAAAATATCAGGCGAAATGATCATTTCACGGTTGTGAGACGGTACATACCGCCGTGGTTGAGGACGTGGCAGCCGACCAAAGAGAATACAGCAGCAGTAGCGGCTACGGTTAAAGAAAGGATTGGGACAAGCCAACAAGACTCACGTATGTCTGGGTATCTTATGCATAAAATCTCGTCAACAACTAAGTCCGATTCTCTGTACTTGCACCGCCTTATGTATGTATCATTGGCGCTACGGCTGCAAGTGACATCAAGCCGACGGCGGTGTGCCGCCAAAAAAACGGACTACAACCGCCACCACCTTGAAAAAATGTCCTTAGTTATGGATTGGGTACTAGGGGGTCAGCTTATGTGGAGAATAGGACACGCTTGGAACACTTTAAGAGTGGAATAAAATGGGTGCGGCCCCCTGCTCCTTCCGGAAGCCCCAGCAATTCGGAGCAACCTTTAGTTCCAGGCCATCATCAGCATATGAATGCTTGAAATGCCAACCGAACCAACCCACTCGTCTCCATGTCTGATTATTTAGGTCAGAATATTTCAAGGAAAGAAACTTCAGCAGAAGGGGGCATCAAGTGGCAACAAATGCCGAACGAGAGGAGCGAAATAAGTCTATTTGACATGCCGAACGGTCTGGTCTGGCAGATGAACGATGGGAACTACTGCCGAATGCCTGTGGGTAGTGGGTAGACAGAATATTGGTAAGGAAAGGAAAGAAAGCATGGTTTGTTCGGTGAAAACAAGGACCACAACCTATATATTTGCTGTGGCTGCAACGCGCTGAAGTTTCAGAACCTCGAGAGGTTGAAATCGAGCGTTTAATTTCTCATCATCATAAAGTGCTCCCTCTGCTGGGGGAGTTCACGACAAATTTCATCCGTTGCTCAAGCCTGTCCATAGCAAACCAACCCTCAAAACATGGCCGAAACGCATGTGAAAAATGTCTCGTGGTGTGAGTTGAACCTGCTGCATTTTTCTCGAAATGCCCGAATCCGGCCTGGACTCCAAGATTCATCTTCCTACTGCACAGAAAAGCAAGCTGCCCGTTTCGTCCCTTGCACGCTCACCTCGCGTTCATTGCTAGGCTCTGTGCTGGTGAGGTTCGATATCTGCTGTAGGACGTCTGAGCCATCCAGCACCTGCTCCACGAGACAGGGGAGACCTTCAGGGGGTTAGAAAATCAACCGCGTCTGTGTTGTGACAGCACGCAGGGTTGTCGTTGTCAGGTGTTGGCGGAGCGGGCGAAAAAAAAGCATATATGTTCCTATCCCCGACGGTGGTCGCACCCAAAGCAAACAAAAAAAACACTTGCTGCGCGCAAGATTTCTGTTGCTGGGGTCTGTCTCTCTGTCTCACATGGGCAAGGCAGGGTGAGCCCGCCGGGCAACCAACCGTATGTAGCTGGGAACACCGACACGAACAAAACGCAATAACTCGCACCTCTCTGTCGTCGCGGCATACTATCCTCTTGGGGAAAAAGCGGTCATTTTTGTTGTTATTGTGGCCATACTCCAGTCCGGGGGGAGGAGGTGGTGACCGCCTGCTGTTGTCCGAGGCGTGCCAGGACGAGGAGCGCAGCCTCGAGTCCTCCCCGCTCATGGGAGCGGCGGCGGCGGAGGTGGAGGCGGTTTCGTCGCCGGCAAGCGGAGTCTTCTCGCAGACCTTCCATTGCTGCCTCTTGGGCTCGGGCGGAGCCGCGCGAAACAGTCTGTGCGCGGACGTCTGCCTGTACATCGCCGCCGCCCGCTTTCCTGTTGAGGAGGAGGACGGCGGCGGCGGCGGCGGCGGCGGCGGCGGTTCAGCCTGCTGCTGCTGTTGCTGCTGCTGCTGGTGATGAATGCGCTGCTCGCCCTCTAGGCTATCTGCCGCCGCCTCCGGCGTGGCTGGCGGCGTGGCCACCATGAAGACGGAGCCGCGCCGTGCCGGCTTGGAGGGTTCCGCCAGCCCCGCCCTCTGCTCGGCGGGGTCGGCCGCGTCGCTCGTGTCTCCATCCACGTCCTTGAGAGCGAGCTCGAAGGTGTGGAAGTTCAGCGAATCGCGCCCGGCAGAGGCATCGTGAAAGGCCGACGAAAACGCCACGGAGACCATGGACCCCCCGCGCGCGTGCGTGCTGCTGCTACCTTCTCTCCTCCTAGGCCCGTGCCAGGTAGAAGAGCGTTCTTCGTCAAGCAACCTCAAGACCTGAAGGCGGGGGGATGTGTTCAGCTGAGAAAATGAAGCAGTTGTTGTCAGTAGGCGGGGGGGCGAAGGGGCTGGTCGTTAACGCACTTTTTGGCTGTTTGGATGTCTGTTGTACTGCTGTCGTGGTCTGCGCCTTCTTTCTTGGGCGCTGAAACAAACTCCCACCCGTGCGGTGCGTGGTCCAATTCTCTCGTCACAGGCAGATGGGGAACAGGGGCGGCGACAACCTCAACGTCGCGGTCTCTTTTTGTGTTGAGATGGGGAGAGTCGGCGCGCGGGGAGGGGGGTTTGCCACTGACTCCACATCTACATACATACGCGCATTTTGCTCGCGACATGTTCTTGCGCGGCCGTATTTTAACTTGTTACACGACTCCTCCGTTGGAACAGAGATTTGGCTCTTTACCGCCCGTGGTTGGGCAAAGAGATTCCAAGCGGCCTGCTACAACATATGCTTGTAAGCTCTCTTCGACAACTTATGTTGTCCAATACTCACGTCGCTTGGTAGGTGACGCCTCTATGCTCTTACAAGTGGAGGGGGAGCCCTGCTCTGCAGCGCTGGGTGAGCCTGCCTTCTTGATGCCAAAGACCCCGCAAAATCGATATCTTTTTGGGAAAATTCGCCGCACTGATTGTTGTTGTTGTTTTTTTTTTTTTTGTGTTGTGACCGATCCTTCGCGCTGTGGTCGTTGGTCTTACATATGATAGTACCGTAGTCTTTACGTCGGCATATATATTGGGAAAAATAAATACACACGCAGAAAGCAGAAAGACTACCAGACAGTTCGAGATACACCCACGGCAGCCGAACGGGATATGTGGTGGAGTCTTTACAGTGAGTGGAGAAAACCGGCTGGGTACTGGACTTATTTCGAGTCTGTGTGTCTGCTACACTGATGATTTAAAGTGGTATCAGCTGGTGCTATGCATACAAGAAAGTACACATGAGAGAAACAACAACAAACAACAACATGTTCGCCATCTTTCCGCTCTGAACCACGCACTCGCTCTATTTCTCCCTCTCTCTGTCTGTGGTGATCTCTCTCATCATGCTCATCATCCATCATTCAAAATCTCAGCTCTCGCACCGCGGCATGTTTTTTCGTTGACGTCTCTTGTGCGTACGTACGAGAGAGAATGGCGTATTATTTACTGTACTTTCCAATCAACATAGATAGTGTACGTGTACGTTGCATGTGATCAACGATGATATGTACACACGGCGAATGATTTTCCGCATGCTGTGTGCCATCATTGATTGTTTCATCATACGTATGTGTGTATGGTGGGTGCTGCTGTGCTGCTGTCTGTGTGTGCTGGTGTGGGTGTGCACCGACTCTCTCTCGCTGTTGTTGGTGCGAGCTCATGATGTGATATCAAGATACCATCGTCGGGAACAAGCACCCAGAAAACCTATTCTGGTAGAGGGGGGTAAAATAACCGTACCCTATTATTATTAGTATGCATGCAGTAGACGTGTGGAGGTACGCATACAGCACAGCAGTAGGTGCTTGACGGTAAGTCATCATGTAGTCTTGCTACCTACTACGTATGTGAGAGCAAATGTGGTTCACCGAGGTCGGCGTGTATCTGGAATACGGAGTTCGGAGCGTTGTTCGGGGTCGATCGTCGTCGCAAAAAGCTGCGTAATAAATGCAACCGGGCGAAACGTCTCTCCTTCGCTACGAATGAATGTCTGTAGACGAAAGTCCCGAACATACATCTCGTCCCGTGTTGATGTCCGCATGATGTATACGTAGTAATTTAGGCATAATCTACACGACATGCGGGTGATACTTGCCAACATACAACAACAACCCGTTTCGTACCAGCTTCATTCGCCCTTCTCGCATAACACGTATCGTGTGTAGACTAGGTGCTGTCGCTCCTTCACCGTTGGGCTCGAAAGAGCGCATAATTGCGCATACAACAGATTTCGATCCGACGAAGTTGTTGGCAGTTCTTCTTCTGTTACTGAGCGATGCCCCATCACCACTCGTCGGCGGTGGGACGACCTCCCGCAGTAAGCAGTAACATTTCTCGTGGGGATTGGGTCAACAAGCTGAACGATGCCCGCCGAGAATGGATGGTTATGCTACACCGCTATCAGAACAGCAGCAGCAGCAGCGGGAACGACTCCGATGCCCCCCTCGTCGGCAAGTTGCGGCAAGACCATGTCCAAACGGCAGGGCGGGAAGCCCCACACAAGAGAGATAGCACCAGCACCTCTCATGGGCGCATGGTGCCTGCCGCTGATTTCTGTCTCCACTGCACCTCCATCATGAAAGTGGAGCTGGAGTGCACCAGTGAGGGAGAGGTCATCGCCGAGCGTCGTCGGGCCTGTTCAGTGTGCGAGACAGCAATGCGAGTGAGAGATTGATTGTAGCCTAACGGAAAGAACCGTACTTTGTATGGGAAACAACTTGACAATGCATCTGATAGGTCCACGCGAACGGCACACACTTGGACGGACTAAGCAAACGGGGGGGAGCGGGGGTTCCTCCCCTGTCCACACGTAGACAATACAGATCGAGTGTAGGGCTCGTCAAACTTTCGAAAATGTGTGTCATGTACTGCTGTATTTCGAAGAGTATTGATACAGATGCATTAGCTCGCAACCGATACTGCCTGTACGCAACCTACGGCCCTTCGTTGCAGGAAGAACTCACTCCAAATTGGCAAAGCACGAACCAATGTTCGTTCCAACGAGGCACCAACCACATGCATTTTCCGCGGGGATCATCTACGGCTTGGAAAACTACGAGCGAAAGGATGACGAGCAAGCGAGGTGCCGACTTCCTTCTTGATTCAGTTGTGGAAAGTGGCGTTCACGGGTCCGACGGTCGACCGAACAATAAACTCGATTCCGAGGAAGATACCCGATCGGCTAGGAGGGAGAGGATGCTGCGGGGCTTGACTCCGTGGACGCCACGCCCAACCCCGAAGTCAGCCTCCCCAACCCGGTCTGTCGGGAAGCCAGAATCAGCTGACGGAATTGACCCAGCTAGTCACGGTGTGGCCAGCAGTGACTCGCCGGGCGACCCGGTTGCTGGTGATGTTCCAGCTAGTGGTGGTGATCCAACTGTTCGTCAAGCTAAAACCCACGGTCCAGAGAGTGCCCCAGGTGAAATCTCGACAAATCCAGAGAATGCTGCGGGTGGAGTCTCGGTGAATCCAAAAAGTGCCTCATCGGTGGAAGTCTCGATGCATCTAGAGAGTGCCTCGGGTGGGGTCTCATCGAGTATTGCCCCCGTGCCCGCCGATGGAGAGTGGGCGGAACAAGTCAGAATCAAGGACGAGCTGATCTCTACGTTGAGACGGCAGCTAACGGCGCTGGGGGAGCAACCGATTGAAGAGGTTGTAACCCTAGAGGTAAGACTGAAGAAAGATCAGGAGCCTCAATTGTTGCTTCCACGCGTGAAGCGATGCGTTCGAACTTCCCAATATCGTTCGTTAGATGTTTTGTGTGCGTGGAGGCCGTGTGGTCTGCTCAGCCACGATTCCCCCATGTGGCGAAGACACGCGCGTTTGCCGCCGCCCCCTTGGAATAACTTACCCAACTAGGTTTGTTCTCGGGCATGGGTTTCCCTCCAATCCTCGTGTATCAAAGGCACGCTTTCAGCAAAAAACATACATGGTCTCTTTTCATCGAATTCAACCACGTGTTGCAACCAGATTTGACCCACGACCGTCACACCGCACCTGGTCGTTTCGCCCTGTCTACCCACCGTTCCCTCCATCAAAGGAGGCCAAGAAGCGTTTACGAGAGGCTATTGACGCCCTGATGGCCGGGGACGCGTCTGCCGAAATGGAGCTCGCACTGGAAAAGTGGGACAAGTATGTCACCAACCATCCCGATCACATCAAAGAGCAGGCCGCCGAAGAGCAGGCATGGGAAGCAGCAAACGAGCCAAAAAACAACGAGGCACTCCATCTTATGAAGACTTTCGTTCCGCCCGATATCTTTCACGCTGGCCTTGACGGTCTCCGGGGAGGGGGGCTGACGCCGGCGCTCGCAAAGAGGATGTTCGATCGCAAGGTAAAAAGGGTATAGCGCATGCGTAGAGACGGAGAAGGGGATATGCGTGCAACATCATGACGCGCCCAGACGAAATAAATTGTGCAAGTGCCTCGCATGCATCATGAAATTCCGTAGCCTGTCGCCAAAGAAGCTTTGAAAGACGCGCGCGTGGCCTCCTTTTCTTGGAGCATCCTTCATAGAGTTGTTTAGTTTACCTTCCTCTATCTAGTCGATCAACCCAGTATCCGTGGCACCATTTTCGTCGTTCGATGAAGCTCGGCCACACACCAATTCGCTTTGTCCTTGAGGCTCTCTTCGCTCAGCTACCCGCCCCCCCCAACTGTTCAGGTTCTCTGGCTCATTCGGGCGCCAATTGGAATGGTGTCAAAAACTCACGTGGTGGAGTTGAAGAGCAAATACCTGGCCAACGACCTAGATGTCGTAGAGAGTCGGGCCCTACATGCATGCCTGCCATCGACGTTCGAAAACGACGCCGACGGGGCGAAAACGGCGTGGCGAGCCGGCTTTCGCAAGCGACTGAAAGAGTTGTTGGACAAGGAAGCAGCAGGACAGCTCAAGCCGGCCGAACTTAGGCGCCCCGTGTACAAGGTAGGTACCTATAGCAGTCAAGGTGAATTTTTCACGTCACTTGTAGGAACTAAGGCAACGCCAGACGAGTTGGCGACTCCATCAATTACACCACTCGGCGGAGTACATACGTGCCTTCGCGCGGATCGGTGTACATGTGATGATTTGTTTTTAAACAATTTGGATAAGCCCCACCTATCTATTCCCAAGCAGGAGTCTTCGATCGAATACTCGAAACCCGTGCACAACATGCCTCAGATCCTTCACGGGGGAGGGACAACAATGCTGAAGCAATCGCTCGTAAACTTTTGTGCGTAGCTCCTGGATTTGTGTGTGTACTGTACTTTCGGTATTCTCCTGCTCGCCGGACCACCACGTCCCAGATACTACTGAAGTCCGAGCCGTTTCTCTGTCGTCCGACGAAACCCCGCTCGTCTCCGCGTTTGACGGGCAGGACATAGAAAAAGGGCCGTTCGACCCCGACGCAGCCGCCGAAGAGCAAGAAACCATGCGCAGCAGCGCGTTTGATGCGTCGGAGAAGCCGGTTGTGGGTGGAAAGCTTAAGGCGTCCGCGATAGCCGTCATAGGCGATGGACTAGGGGCGAAACTGAAGACTGGGCCACCCCCGCTAGACCCCATCAGCGACACGAAGGACGGCTCTGCAGACGTTGATGGGATGACCAGGTCAAGTAGAGAGGGGAGCCCCGCTTAGCACAAGGATACGAGCCTGTAATTTCGTTGCTTAATGCTTGGTCTTTAGTGGCAGGAAAATCCTCGGCATGCACGCCTTTCTCCGCGATGTTGGTGATGTTGATGTTTCTCAGTGATTGAAAAAGCGGTACTACATACCAACACCTGGTTACCTTTTGCACTATCACAGGTCAGCCCCAAACTCGCCAGCTTCAAAGTATCGACGACAAAGCTACGCACTCTCGAGAGGCCAGCCGACCACTTGCTCGATGAAGAACATGATGAGTGAGCTGGGAAACCGCATCTCCCACAGAAGACAAAGCCAACGGCGGAGGTCGTCATTCAATGGAGTTCACGACGTATCTCAGATGCTTCGAGTCGCTTTCGATGACCCTATTGCGGAGGACGGACGGCTACGGCGGAGCGTGGATGAAGCAAGCTCGCAGGGATCGGATTATGATGCGGCGATCGAGCCAACAATTGATCCTGCGCCGCTGCCGTCGACTCAGCCCTCCCAAGCCGGGATGGCGGTGCCACCGTCCGATCCAAAGTCGAGCGTCGACACCAAGAAGACGAGCCCGAATCCTGGTGGACAGAGCGCCCCTCCGAGCATGAAGGACATGATGGCCGAGCTCGCGGCCAAGGCGAACGCGCGCGAGGGACGGTCTGCTTCACCTTTGCAGGAAGGCAATGCTGGGGCAGGTAACAACGTTGGGGTGGATTCTCCGATTGTTCCGCAATCGATACCGCAGCCACCCGCCACTCCACCACCCGATCCAAAGTCGAGCGTTGACACCAAGAAGACGAGCCCGAATCCTGGTGGGAAGAGCACCCCTCCGAGCATGAAGGACATGATGGCCGAGCTCGCAGCCAAGGCGAAGGCGCGCGAGGATCGGTCTGCTTCACCTTTTTTAGAGGACGGAAATGCTGGGGCAGGTAACAACGTTGGGGCGGATTCTCCGATTGTTCCGCAATCGATACCGCAGCCACCCGCCACTCCACCACCCGATCCAAAGTCGAGCGTCGACACCAAGAAGACGAGCCCGAATCCTGGTGGGAAGAGCACCCCTCCGAGCATGAAGGACATGATGGCCGAGCTCGCAGCTAAGGCGAAGGCTCGCGAGGAACGGTCAGCGTAAGTGCAATCTACATGGTCAAGTATCAAGACGTTCTCCCCTCCGAAGGGCATGATGCCCGAGCTTTGCGCTAAGGCAAGGGTGCTCAGGGAACGGTCTGCTTCTCCTTCCCCGCAGACGCCGTCGTGAGCGGGACGGGCTCTTGGTGAACAACGGGAAAAAACGATGATGTTGTTTAGACTACTAGATCATGCTTTCCCCCCCACAGTTTTGCGGTAGGCCAAGGTCCAACGACACCGAACAGGCTGAGTGTGTTTGCGCTGTTCGTGTCGGCTTGTCAAGAGTGGTGCCGGACGAAGGAATGTAGGGTGCACAAGGATACTCAAGGATCATACAAGGGCGCACAGGAATACCCTGGCATCATATGTATAATAAGCGGATCAATGTGCACGACCGTAACGTCTGGATGTATGTAGAATAACAATCCATTCTACTAATATAAGTCGGGTGTGCTGTGTTTGTTTGTCTTTGTGCGTGTCTTCTTCGCGAAACCAGTGTCGGTTGGCCTTGAGGACCGGAAATGACCGACTGCACCCATCTCGGAGACCAAAATGCAAACCACAAGTAGATAAAGCGGTAGGACTATCGAGTGTATGTACGCATATGCATATGTATGTGCGGATGGATGGCGAAAGAGTCTCTCGCTCGGATTAAACAACCGACACGAACGTCCCAGCAAGAGGTCATACCGTGTAGAGGATCTTAGCCTAATTCCGCTTCTCCGAGAACCAGTAGACATGCGAAAACATGGGCCGAACGTCGATCGCCAAGTGATAACCTCCGCGTTACGTTGTTGTT